ACCTTCTATTAAGTAATGGAGTTAATCATGATTGGACAAAATTCTTGTCTAAAAGCGAATTATCCCAAAACAAATTACAATATGTATTGCTAACCAAAAAAAACATATGAACAAAATTTTAGTAAACTTAAATGTACATACCGTTAACATATGCATCTAGCTATCTCAATTAAAAAAAAATTAGGGAAATTTCTTTGGTCGATCAATCTTGTGGCTTGAATGCATATTAAATATATTACCAACAAGTCCAACACTAAGTTACTAAATAAGTCAGAAAACAAAAACATGAGAAGAAGATAATGTTTAGAGGTGGAGAGGCCAACGAATGCCTTCTCTTGGACAGGGTAAAGGAGCCGGCAAAGCTATGTGCGATGGTAGCTTCTCTCCGGGCATCACCACCGATACATCCACCGCAATATTCACCGGAACCTACCATGTCACATTCCTTATAATTAATGTCAAAACTTTTGCATAAAACAATAGATACACACATTACACGCATGACGCACAGACAAACTAAATCATACGAAAGAGACAAACTTTTGTGGGACATATGAAAACGAATTAGCGCTACGGATACATACACATTTGGTTAAATGCTGCTTATTCTGTAATAAAACAAAAGAATAAAGTACTACACAACTTGGTTCTTGGCTTTTTCACTCTCCAAAGTTTTGATTTTTCAAAGGTTTTTTGCACCGAAAAGCATAACAATTTTATTTAGCAAAGAAAGAAAAAGAAGAAAAAAAAACTAATTCTACAGTGGCAAGCTAATGCGTTTCGCTTTATAAAAAGGACAAAAATTCTTTTGAGAAATGCTTTAATAATAATTTTTTTTTTATTTGGTAAAAAAATAATAATAACTTTGTTTTGGTTATTACCGTGGATGCTTGATTAGCAAGTTTCTGGAAGTGAGTGGACCCATCTCCGTTGCTCTGGTTCTGTCTTTGTAAGATCCGATGTGGTGAATCAAATGAAGAATTCTCAGGTCTAAAGAGATGCTCAAAGATAGCCATTATCAAGAACATGGAGATGAGTATCGCCGTTGCTACAAACCCAAAAGATATCGCATTCATCGACGTCGACGATCTCCATGGCCCTTCACTCTCTCCATCTCTGGTGCTGTATATGCTCCACGAGCTCGATTCGTTCATCTTCTTCTCCTTGTTGGCATGCGAGCTTTGAGCTTGTTCTATTTTTTTTGTCAAGAACGTGGAGAAGAACAGAGGAAATGAAAGGAACAGAGGAATCTTTTTTTCTTTTTGTAAGATCTTTTGTTTTTTGGAGGACGATTTGTGACACCAGAGGAAAAAAAACTAAGAGCTCTAGATCAAGAAACTAAACACAAGTTTATGAAATAACAAAGTTTGATGATTCTAGAGAAAAATAAAAGTTGAGATGTATTCACGTAATCGACGACAATGACTCGTTTTTTATTCCTTGTGTTTTTTTTGTATGTGAGGCAAGTGAAAAGCAAAGCAGAGAAGAAGAAACAAAAACACACTCTGTCCTATGTTGATAATGGGTTGTATTG